ATTTTGAAGGCATGTTCTTGTCTTCCACCTGTGTTACTGTTGAGACTTTCTAATGTTATTCAAAATCTGTTTTTTTTCCTCTTTAGAAGCTTGTACCATTTTCTTTTTAAAAATTTAAAAAATTATTTTGTTGAGAAAATACACAGCAAAAAATACACCCATTGAAGAGTTTCTACATGTACAATTCAATGAAATTGATGATATTTGAGTTATACAGCCCTTCTCACCTTCCTTTTCTGTGTTGTTCCTCACCTGTATCATACACCCAGGGCCCCTAAGGTTCCCATCTAATCTTCGGAGTTGATGTCAAGTTGATCCCATATAGATGAGTCATAAACATAAATACTCAAGGCAGACATTTTTTACTAGTTGAGCTAAACTAGTTGTTTGGCTTTATGAAGACCCCAGGGAATATTTTTGGTTTAAAGTTTATTTCAGAGAAATAGTTTGGTGCTTCATCCAACCTCTATGAGTCCAGAAAATCCCCATGGACTCCATGGGGATTTGAAATTCTGTTTAGCATTTTCACCTTTTTGATCATGATTTCGCTATAGAATGCTGATCAGAATGTTCAGTCATGGTAGCTAGGCGCCATCCAGTTCTTCTGGTCTCATGGCAAAGATGGCACTTTCCCATGGGACCATTAGCCTCATATTCCACATCTTCCTCGTATTCCGGACTATCCTGTTAATGCCAGGCAAATAGAGACCAATTGTGTTGTGCTTTTGACCCCATCTTTTTTCTTGAAAATGTAAACTCCTATCTCCAGAGGCAGACCTCTGGTGTCATAGTGTGTTACAACCTTTTGGGCTGTTAACCACAGGGCTGGCGGTTTGAATCCACTAGTTGCTGTATTGGAGAAAGATGAGGCTTTCTGCTCCCGTACTGATTTACAGTGTTAGAAACCCTGTTTTTTTTTTTTTTTGTTTTTTTTTTAATGTTGGCTCTAAAGATGTTGAGACCATGAAAGACAAAGACAAAGGGATAGTTTTAGATGGAAAGATGGGATAATTGTAGATGCACCAGGTCTTGGCTACCAAATGTAATGCATGGTCCTTCATTGGATTGTACAGCTGTAAAAGAAAGAATATTATAGGGACACTTAGAAAAATCTTAATATGGGTTATATTATAACCTGTTGGTGTGCTGTAGGGTAAGCACAGGACTACTGAGCACCAGGTCGGCAGTTCAAACCCAGCAGCTGCTCATTGGAAACCCTATACAGGGTCGCTATGAGTTGGAACTGACTCATTTGCACTTAACAACAACATCATTGGTAGTAATGATTATGTATGAGGATTTTCTTGTTTTTAGGCAATATGAGGGGGTATCAGAAGGTTTGTGGAAAAATAGAATTAAAAGCTAATGGGGATTTTTTTTTTCTCACGAAGTAGTGGAAGCTCCCTCGTAGAACTGGAAGCTTCAAGAGGTGATATTTCATATAATTCTGGGGTGATCCAGGGCCTGGGGCCTTTTAATTTGAAGAGGTTGGGGGGAGGGTAAAGCAAATGTAGCAAAATGTTAACAATTGGTGAATCTAGATGAAGGCTTCTGGGTGCTCATTGTATGATTTTTGTCATCTTCACTGTGGGTTTGAAAAAAAAAAAAAAAAGAATCCGCCTTGGAGAAGAACTTGAAAACATAGATAGACACGGTAGAGTAATTTTTAACCCTAAAAATGCCAAAATCTATTTGGAAGCACAAAATTTAATGTAACAGAGTCTGAAACTATGCATAGCTATGTTGTTGTTGCTATGTGCCCTGGAGTCGGTTCCAACTTATAGTGACCCTGTACAGGATTTCCAAGGCTGTAAATCTTTATGGGATTTTTCAGAAAGCCTCATTCTTCTCCTGCAGAACAGTTGGTAGTTTCGAACTGCTGAGCTTGAGGTTCGCAGCCCGATTCGTAACCACTGCGCTATTAGAGCTTCTATGGAGTTGATGAATTTAGCGGGAAGGAGATAAAACTGAGGAGAAACAAGGCTTTTTGTAAAAGGTCCCTCTTTTTACAAACTGGTATGGAATTAGGTTGTTACTGCCACCAGGGGGCAGTGCAGGTGAATAATTCTGTTCACAGCAAGCCAACGGGAAAGCTGTTCTTCCCCTCTTCACTGACTCCACGTGAGGTCGCTATTTTCTACTCCAAGCATTTTTAGATTCTTAGACAATTAAAGGATGTATGGTATGGTGCTGTATGATAAGCACTCGATTGCGAATCAAATGTCAGAGGTTCAAACGCACCAGCTGCTCCTCAGAAACCCTATACAGAGTCGCTAGGGGTCGGAATGGACTAGACGGCACTAAACAACAAGACGATTCTAGCATAGTTATATGGGTTCCCAGTTCTTTCTGTCCACTCAGATTTTCCTGTACATGTGCTGGAAGCTTCTGGAGGGGAGTGAGTCTTCCAGTTTAGGTCTGTCTTCCTGTGTGTGTCTTTGCTCCAAAGACCAATGCACCATGCATTTATAACATCAGTCGTTTTTATGATAACCCTACCAAGTCATAAAGGAACTCTGTTAGCGAAGTGATTACAAGTTGGGCTTCTAACTTCAAGGTCAGCAGTTTGAAACTGCCAGCTGTGTCATGGCAGAAAGGTGAAGCTTCCTGCTCCTGTAAAGATTTACAGTCTCGGAAACCCTATACAGGGTTGCTGTGAGTCAGAACCGACTCTGTGGCACTTAATAATAACAACAATTACAGGGTGAAGAAACTGGTGGCACAGTGGTTAAACATGACTGCTAACCATTGAGCCCCGTCAGCCACTCCTTGGGAGAGATGAGGTAGCCTGCTTCTGTAAGGATTCACAGCCTTGGAAACCCTATGAAGCAGCTCTCTTCTGCCCTTTATGGTCACTATTATTTGGAATTTGACTCAGAAGCACGGGGCATTCTATTATTGGGAGGTTACCCATGCTCGCCCTTTCCTAGAAGATGAAGGGTTGAGTTTTTGCTTAGCCTTCTTGTTGAGACTGGGCTAACTCATCATCTTGTAACATATTCAAGATTCCCTTACTTTTTAATTCCATTTTCCACAAACTTGTTGAAGCCCCTCTGTGTAACTTAGGAGTCTAGCACAGATCTTTATAAACAGATGCATGTTGTTATTACTAAGTGCCTTCCAGTCGGTCCTGATTCAGCAACGACCCTGTATAGAGTTTCTGAGGAATGGCCAGTGGGTTTGAACCACTGACCTTACGATTAGCAGTCCAGTGCTTATCCTACAGTACCATAGCAGGACTCCAAACAGATATATGTTATTGTTAAGTGCCGTTGAGTTGGTTCCAACTCATAGCAAACCCTGTATAGGGTCCCCGAGGAGCAGCTGGTGGGCTTGAACCACCGACCTGTGGTTCAAAGCGACTTTGCAGTCCAGCACATTAACCCACAATGCCACACCAGGACACAAACAGATAGATACAGATGTATGTTGTTGTTAAGTGCCGTCGAGTCAATTCCGACCCATAGTGACCCTGTATAGGGTTTCCAAGGAGCAACTGGTGAGCTTGAACCTTGCAGTTCAAATGGCTTTGCAGTCTGGCACATTAACCCACAGTGCAATAAGTGATAATAATAAAAAGAGAATCCATTTCTCCAAATTTAGAATTAAAACAATATTACCAAGTGTTCACATTTTTATTTGAAAACTCCTATTTTTTCAAATCTTGCCCATTCTTTAAGGCTCTGACGTTTGTGCTGATATATTGACTCACAGTTATTGTTTCTCCTCTGGTTTCCTGTGAAGTCTGGTCTGCATACTTCAGTATATGGTCACCAACCTAGAAAACCTTATTTTGATATTTAATTGTTTTGTGGGTTTATATATCCAGTCAGTGAGATGGTAAATGCCATTTGATTCTAGTGTGTCTTCTCCATTTTTGCAATATTGAAAATGGTACTTTTTTTTTTAAAGGACAGTTTTGAAACAACATGTCTCCAAATATTTTGCCAATAGTAGTTTCACTTACTTCTGAAGTAATTTAAAAATCCATGTTTAGTTTTTCTACAGAACATTCTCACTTAAATACAAGATTTTTTCTTCCTACATTTTTCTTATGTATTTCAGTCTATGGACTCATTTAAGAAGACAGATGCATTGCATTAAGGTAGCATGCTCCAAAGGAATTGTTTTAGAAAAGAAAGAGTATTAATGATCTCTTTGTTGTCGGTAAGTGCCATAGAGTCAATTCTGACTCATAGTGGCGCCCTGTATAGGGTTTCTGAGGAGCAGCTAGTGAGGGTTTAAACGTCTGACGTTGTGGCTTGCAGCCCCGTGTTGATCTTATAGCGCCACATTAAAAAGCACTTTTGGAAAGTACATCCACTTTATTCTTTTCTTGGACTTTTGGATGGATTTTTTTTTTTTTTTGCTATGTCAAAGTCAGAGTGCAGTGGCGCTCTAGTCTGTAGGACAAGCAGTGGACTGCAAACCACAAGGTCGGCAGTTTGAGCTTACCAGCCACTCCCACAAAAGATCTACAGCTCCAGAAACCCTATACAGGGTTGCTATGAGTCAGAACTCTCTCAACAGCACTCTACAACATGTTAAAATCATTTCAGACTTTAAAACATTTGTAAAGATTTATTTGGTACAGTATCAGCATTTTAATAGCTAAAATTGTTTAAGCAGTTTAAATTATATGTTGTGTTATCTCATTCTTACCAGAGAGCTGCTTTTCTCAGATACAGTTTAAATGTCAATCTCCAGTTATGTTAATCTCTAATTGTATAATATAATTAAATTCATCTGACCTGGTTACTGGGCACATTTCAGAAACCAGACTGATGCTTATCTTGACCCATTAAGAATATTTCCATTTGAAAATTGACCTTTTGGAATCATTTTACTGCCTTTATTTTATCTGCCAGTTACACTTAACAGAAATATTTCTATTGGAAAAGTAACCTGACTTAATAAAATGCATTTAATTAAAAAATGATTATAAAATATGTAGAAGACAAAATGCGTAAGAAACTAACAACATTCTTTTTTACTTATAGAGATACTTTCTAGTTGGGAGCAACCATGCAGAAACGAAATATCGTGTCTTGAAAATTGATAGAACAGAACCAAAAGATTTGGTCATAATTGATGATAGGGTAAGTGTCTTTCAAATGTAACTAGTTTAAAGAACACATTTTTGCAACAGTTGTCTTATAAGGATATGAAATGGCCTAACAGCTTCTAGTGATATGTTACGTATTTTTTTTTATTGTGCATCTAAAACTTGTGATTATTTTTCTTGATTGGCTAGAATTTAATTTCTGATCAGGTGTCCTGAAATGACTAATTTAAGAAGTATGTCTGCACATGCTACAATATGTAACCTTGGAAAATATGGTAAGCCTGACACAAAGAAACAAATATTCTAGAATAGGCAATTCATAGAGGCAGAAAGTAGGCTAAAGGCTGCCAGCAGCTAGTGTGAGGGGTAGATGGAAAGTCATTGCTTAAAGAGAAAAGTCTCTGGGATGATGAATAAGTTTTGGAAATGAATGGTGGTGTTGGTTACATAACATTGTGTATATAATTAATGCCACTGAATCAAACATAAAAAAATGGTTAAAATGGCTAATTCTATGTTACATATTTTATAAAAATTAGAAATTCAATAAAAAGAACAAGTATGCCTTCATTTTGCTCCTGATAATTATTTGTTTTAAGAAATAAACTCTGTGGATAAGATATTGAAAATATTTTTTCAGCTGACATCTTATGACTTCATTGTCATTCTTACCGCATGTGCTGAAGGGATGAGATGAAATATTTGTATGCTCTAATATGAAGTTCTGTGAAGTCAAGGAAGACTTCTATACTTCTCTACAGAATTTTTATAGTGCTTCTAAACGTCACCTCTAGTGCTTCTTTGGAGTCCTGCTGTGGTGCTGTGGGTTAATGCGCTAGACTGCAAAGTCGGTTTGAACTGCAAAGTTGGCAGTTCAAGCTCACTAGTCGCTCCTTGGAAACCCTATACAGCATCACTATGGATCGGAACCAACTCTATGGCACTTAATAACAACAACAAAAACAACAACAAGAAGTTCTTCTTTGTTGTATACTTTTGTTACCCAGTTGTTCTATATTCCAGAGTCAATAATACAGAGACTTAATTCAGGTGGCATAAAAATTTAGGTTGTTTATTCAAAAGTGAACTACAATATGGTTTTTGTAGTGAGTTCGAGGGAATTCTGAGCTAGTCAAGGAAAAATCTATGATAACAGTGTTGTACAACATGTTATATCTTGGAGCGAACCCACTAATAGCTGCACCTAGGGGGCAGCCCCCTACAAGGTTTCCCAGAGGTAAGAGGAGCAGGAACCACCACCCTTGAGGAAGAGAAGAAATGAGGGTGGTCTTAGGTTTGTCCAGATAGTGTCTTTCTGTGGCATGCTGGAGGACAGCAGCAACTCTGTGTTATTCTCAGGGGCTTCAAAAAGTATGTGGAGACATAACTGCCAAGCCACTGAGAATCATGGCCATGCCAACGTGACACATCTTTTAGGGGACACAGTTCAATCCATGAGTCCACATCTATTCAAAGCCTTTAAAATATTTATGTCATTTGATAATCTTTACTCAATTTCAAGTTTGAAAGAGAGATGATCTTCTTGGTAGTTTTGGACAAAACTAGTTATTTTATTTAACTTGTAGACTACAGGTTTTCAAAAGGAAATACACAAGACTAGTTTATAAGCTTATCAAGTAGTAGATACAACGCACAAGGTATAGCTGTGAGGTTTGGAGTCTTTGGTTTCTTCTGTGACTTGAGCCTCTCAATTTAAAGCCTCTTCACTTCATTTTGAATGAAATTCCAGATGTGTAGAAAGAAGTTCAAGGTGATAAAAATCAATCAATAAGCTGTATATTCTTGATAAGACAAGGGTATTAAATAGAATAGGAAAATGGGTCTTTTAAAAGAAGATGAGGGTACAAAAGAGACCCTTCTGCCATTAAGGATATGTTTGAATCAGAAGTTGAAGCCCTTATTATATGAGGAGTTCTTAGAAACCAATTAGAAATAGATGAGCTAGCTCAATAAACTTTATAAACTGTGTTCAAATTTCCACATTATTAGATAACTATGAATTATAAAGTAAGATATCCTACTCTGATTGACAAATTAACAAATATTTTAAAAAATGGTAAAAGTTGTCGTTAGGAAGAAAGAATTCAGATAAATGGGCATTTTATATAAAGAAGAATGAAATATGAATGCATCTAAATGTTGTGGCTGCATTTTAACAAGATTTGTTAAAAACTTTTCATCGAAGACTTTTGCTTCCCCTTTTATCTGAATGAAATAAAGCTGTGAGGTGTAAAATGTAAGAATATTTAGTATGATTTATAATACTGAAAAATGTTTTTAGCAACTCAACATCCCAAAATAGAGTGGCTAAATTCCACTTTGTTGTTGAGTGCTGTCGAGTTGATTCTGACCCACAGTGACCCTGTTTAGGGTTTCTGAGGAATGGCTGGTGAGCATGGGCCACCAACCTTGCAGTTCAAACCCAACTTTGTAGTGTAGTGCATTAACCCACAGTTGCTACACCAGTACTCCAAATTCTGCTTTGTTGTTGTGAAGTGCCATTGACCTATAGCGACCCTGTATAGGGTTTCCGAAGAGGGACTGGTGAGTTTGAATCACCGACCTTGCAGTTCAAATGGCTTTGCAGTCTGGCACATTAACCCACAGTGCCACACCAGGACTCCAAATTCTACTTTGTTGTTGTTGTTAAGTGCCATCGAGTCAGTTTCGACCCATAGCGACCCTGTACAGGGCTTCCGAGGGTGTAAATCTTTACGGGAGTAGAAAGCCTGATCTTTCTTCCACGGAGCAGCTGGTAGTTTCGAACTGCTGACCTTAAGGTTCGCAGCCCGATTCGTAACCACTACGCTTTTTAGTCACATATAAAATCATCATCCAATCAATAAAATTTAATGACATGGAAAATTCTAAAAGTATATTTAGTAAGTTGGAAGAAAGTGGTCTTTAAAATAATATTTAGTCTGAACCCCATTGTTTTTTGAGGAAAAAAAAGGGACAGACTGGAAAATGCTGAGTGGCTATCTCTGATGAGTCTAATTAAAAGACTTTCTGAATTTCCAAGTTTTTTTTGCAATGAGCACATATGACTAGTTCTTTTAAAAATAGGAGAATGAATATCTTATACCTTCCGAGTTACCAGCACATCGATAACTACTGCTAAGCACAAAGATAAGTACTAGGAAAGGATGTCTTTGAGGGCAGTGAGTTGAAGGAGAATAGGTAGAAATGAATAAATCACTTCTATTCACTGCATCTTTGGATTGAAACAGTTTGACACACAGATTTAGAACAAACCAGAATCCATATATTGAGCCCCATTAGGCAGTATTGAACTTGCTGCAACAGTGTATTTCAGGGAGAATATTGTTGTTACTAAGTGCCATCGAGTCAGTTCCTACTCATAGTGACCTTGCGTAGGGTTTCCAAGGAGTGGCTGGTGGGTGTGACCCACCAACCTTACGGTTAGCAGTCAAGTTTTTATCCTACAGTGCCATACCAGTATACCCCTGGGAGAATTCAGTTCTGACTCATAATGACCCTGTATAAGATTCCCAAGGAGCAGTTGGTGGGTTTGAAACGCCAACCTTATGGTTAGCTGTCCAGTACTTATCATATAGCACCACCCCAGAACTCCCTGGTCACTAAAGTAAAAGTATGATAACAGCGGAATATGAAGGTTTCAAAAACACCATTCTCTTCACTGCTGAGTTACTTCAAGCTAGAAAATATCCCGTAGTGCACTTACTAAAGTGTCTTTAGAATTGTACAGATACCCACCCAGCAGTGAGAAGGAGGGAAAACTGAAGCAAGGCTTTCCCATGGTCCCATCAGAGAGTGATGGGTTAATGCGCCAGACTGCAAGGTGGGTTTGAACCGTGAGTTTGGTGGTTCAAGAGCATAAGATTTGACACATTTTTTAGTATAGCAACATATGATCACATAAGCAATTTTCAAGAATTTGGTAGCTTTTTAAAATTGTGGGGTTTTAATCATGCACTTCACTATGAGATAACTAATGAGTCGTGTAGTCAGCTTTTACTTTTGAGGGGCAAATAGTAAGTGAGCCTTACAGATGAAATTTGCTTATTTCTAGCATGTATATACCCAACAAGAAGTAAGAGAACTTCTTGGCCGCTTGGATCTAGGAAATAGAACAAAGATGGGACAGAAAGGATCCTCAGGGTTATTTCGAGCTGTTTCAGCATTTGGTGTTGTAGGTGAGTAATATACCTGCCTCCTCTAACCGTCCACTCTCCACCCATCTCTGCTTCTCTCTCATTCTCTCTCTATATATACTGAATATACACTGAACCCTGGTGTGGCACTGTAGGATCAGCACTAGACTACAAACCACAAGGTCAACAGCTCAAACCCACCAGCTGCTTCTTGGAAACCCTATATGGGGTCACTATGGGTCAGAACTGACTCGACAACACATAACAACAACAACACTGAATCCTGGTGTAGCGTTGTAGGATCAGCACTGGACTGCGAACCACAAGATCGACAGTTCAAAACCACCGGTTGCAAATACAGAGTATAGAGTTTCCAACGAGAGGCTGGTGGGTTTGACCTGATGACCTTGTGGTTGGCAGTCCAGTATTGATCCTACAGCATCACATCAGGAGTCCCCATAAGGCTATGTAGCTACATAATTATAACCCATTGTCTTTGTTTTTGGTCATCTAAATGAACTTCATTATCTGCCAATCAGATATCAAGTGGGCATTTTTGAAGCATCTGTTATATATGCAGTGCCATGCTCACTTTTATTTAGGAAACGAAAAAATACAGAAATGGTCTTGCTTCTCAGGACTCCTGTCTGGCTTGTTGCAGAGTGAAAAGAGCAAAAATTAGCTTGGGTTGTAAAAATCTGCTCTGTCAATCATCAGCTGAAATAACAGACACAGGTAAAATCAGCTGCAAAGTGAACAGGAATTTCTCCCAAGGAGCTTTAAAATGTCCTTCAACACCTTCCGTTTTGAGTGACTACTTCTTTCTTTCGAACTGAGAGACTTTGTTCTTTAAGATCAGAGGCTATCAGAAGCTTTGCGGTCTGAAATGATAACCAAACAGCCAACTCTTGCCTGGAGGATTAAGTCACTTACACCGAGAAGCAGTTTCAATGTGCAGTTTAGGTGCAGAATTTCAGAGAAGATGTTTCTGGACACAGCATTCCACATCTGTCCCAACTTTATTGTTACCAAGGAAACTGGACCCTGGACCTACTATGCAGTTAAGATCTGATGCCTGTCTATACTTTACACGAAGACCTGCTTTGGTTTGAACCTATTCATTTAAATTGTATCTAAATTCCACCCTTCTCCTAAATCCTCTGATGATTCTTTTCTTTTAAAGCTGTTCCCCTGTTACTCTGGTGTACAGTCACCCTCATTACACTTGGTGACTAAACTTTCCTTTACTAAACTGTGGATTTGTCTCTGGTAGGTTTAGGCTGATAGGATTAGGGCAGAAGACAAAAAAAAACAATGCACATGAGAAACTTTATTATTGAGCCAAACTATGTAGTCGAAATTAAATGCTGTTGGAGATTACATAAGTGATAGAATGACCAGGAAAGGGTTACTGCAGACAATGAGACTTGAACTCAACCCTGAAGGAGGAGCAAGTTTGGATTGACGTAGGGAAAAGAGGAGGGAACTCAGTGAGGGGTGATGGTGCCCATGGGTGCTGGAGTGTTGGGGTGAGTTGTTGGCAGAATCTAGAGGCTCAAGGCCTAAGAAGCCCAGCAGAGGTCAGCCGTGTCTTAGTTTCTCTGCTGTCTGGGCCCTATTTTGACACCTTTAAAAATAAAAACAACAACACTAACAGAATTATCTTTGTGCTTCTTAAACATATTGGACTGAATGTGATATTGACTAGTTTCTACAGATGTTAAAAGAAATGAACGTGGACTTGATTGTGCTATATAGTTTATGTTAGGTTTTCTGATTTGTGCTTTCCATTTTGTGATGGTATAGTTTTGGAAATTTTGATTATATTTAGCCATATTTGAATCTTGCTTTTTGCAGTGTACTCTTGTAGCTCTTCCCATATAATTCATTTAGGTCCATTCTGTGTCTTAAGTGGCTTATATGGGAATGTAGGAAATGGTGTGGCATGGCTGGTATCTTCCTCTCCTTTGCTCAGGCTCCTGTTCTATACCTACTGTTCAGTCTTGAGGAGTCTCTCCAGGTTACATGTTTAAAGAATCAGTGTTTGTGGGTACATACATGTCTGTGTATATCATGTAAGTTCATGTGTGAAATTCTAGAAATCTCTCTCTCTCTCTCTCTCTCTCTCTATATATATATATATATGTTGAGTTCCACATTGTCTTGCTTATATTTAAAACAAAACCACTCAAAATAAAATGTGTCTTAAACACAATAGGTTCTGATTTAACTTGTATTTGTTGTTGTTTTTAAGTACTGTTGAGTTGGCTCTCATCCATAGTGACCCTGTATAGGGTTTCCAAGGAGCAGCTGGTGAGCTTGAACCACCGACCTTGTGGTTCAAACTGACCGTGCAGTCCAGTGCATTAACCCACAGTTCCACATCAGTACTCCAAATTGTATTTAATTATTGTGTAATTATTTAATCTTATTCCTTGAAATGCCAATACTTTCTTTTGGCTTTTTAAAAAGTAGATTTCCTAAGGTGTATTTAATAGCGAATGCCTCCACTAGCCATGGCTTTTCTATTCAAAAATCGAAGCTTTCTTGATGTGAGACCAGTGTAGGTCACTTATTTAACTGTGTTTAAAAAGAGCTGTCCTTAGGTATTCTGGAGTTATGTAGGGCATTTTGTTTTACATTTAATGGCCCCAGGCTATGTATGTACTTGTTTTGTTTTTATGGTACTCAGTCATTCTTCATTGTTCTTGACACATTTGCTTCTAGCTTTATTTCTTGCCTCAATTTTAATCTATTGACAGCCACGCTTATAAAACCAGAAGCTTTATTTTAATCCATTTATAACCAAGCTTTTAACCAGATGTTTTATTTTATACACAAACATTAGTTAATAAACTCTGGGTGAGGGCTGAAGGTATCTCCATGTTTGTCTCAAGTGACATCTGTAGCTCTCTGCTAGTCATAGAGTTTTCAGCAGAGAGCTCCTTACTAGGAGGACCTTTAATCGTCTCTGTTTAATTTCTAACTGGTCCACTATTTCACTTGTTGCTATTATAGGGCTGCCATTTTCTTTAAATCTCTCTCTAGCAAAGCTTTGGGAGATTATGGTAAAGGAAAACAAGATTAAGAAAAATAAGATGAAGCCAAGAATGAGATTGTTGTTGTGTGCGACATTATGCCATATGCTGCTGTTGGCAGTGTTTCCAGAGAAATGGAGGAGACTGTCTTTGGAGAGATAAGGATGGTGCAGATATTCAGAGACACTTCTTGACCCTGCTGTTCTCTGAGGTTTACACTGTTGCCTATGGTGTCGGAGATCACCTCAATGTCCTTTTTAGGTTAAACTGCTTCAAGTTGGGTCTTGCCTCCAGCAATTAAGTTTTATTTTTCCTTTTGATCAGCGTTTCCCAATGTGTGTTCCTATAGTCGTGGTGTGATGCTGTAGGGTAAGCACTGGACTTCTAATGGCAAGGTTGGTAGTTCAAACCCACCAACTGTTCCTCAGAAACCCTATACAAGATTGCTCTGAGTTGGAACCGACTCAGTGACACTTGACAACATATATATGTATGTATGATATATGTATATATGTATGCATATTCTAGATGGGGTTGTCATGTGAATTTTACTTTTAGGAAACTCTATTTCTACCATCTTTAAGATTGGTTAAACAATGTAAGGAGTCCTGGTTTGGCATTGTAAAATAAGCAGTAGACTGCTATGCTAATTGCAAGATCAATGGCTCAAACCTTCCATCTGCTTCTGGGAAACCTTATACAGGAATGCTGTGAGTCAGAACCAGTTCGACAGCACTTAACAATAACATAGTGCTTTTAGTTGGAGCCGATTCTCTGGCAGTTTGTAGGAGGAGTAGTATAGTTCTTTGTGTGTGGTGGGTGTGCTCCATGGTCAAACAAGTGTAGGTAGATACCCTTGTTCTCAGGAGAGATTCCCACTGCATATTATTAGCACAGTACCCGCTGCCATCAAGTGGATCAGAACTCATAGCAACCCTGTACAGGGTTCCTAAGCCTGTAAATCTTGAGTATACAAGTTCAAACCTAATGGTTTGAGCTGCCAACATTGTGGTTAGCAGTCCAGTGCTTAGCCTACAGTGCCCCCATGGCCATAAGGCATTGAGAACTTGTGGTTTTTATAATTCCATTGTTATTTTACATTTCTTTAGCCCAGTGTTTCCCTAATCTGTTTGTTGACAGCTCACCTCTTCTCACAGATCCTACTAAATAGTTATTGATACAGGGCACATTTGGGGAAACACTTCCTTAGACAGCTAAACTGTATCTTCAAATTGAATTAGATCGTCATTGAGTTCTGTGTCTTTTCTACATTATTTTAGTTTGTAGAGAGTAACCTTTATTGAATTATACTTTGGCATAAGAAACAACTTTACAACGTGTGTGTGTTGTGACACTACAGTAGAAACTTCCTGAGGTTTGTATACCTTCTATCACATGGTCTCCATTTTCAAATGAGGACTCACTCTAGAATTCTCTTCTTAGTTCTCAGAACTAGGAGGAGCTTCTCCAAGCAACTAGGTTGGCTCATATCTTACAGATGCTTTGTATGGTACAATTAAAAATGTATTCCTGTCACGTTATCTGAATGCAAAGAGGAATACACCTTTAACTATACAATTAATTGCACAATCCTTAAAAGGAAGCTCAGAGGCATATATAGGGAATAGTATATAGGACTTTAAGATGCATTTTTATGTACTATTTCGTTTCTGGAGTCCTGATGTAGCACTGTGGATTAATGTGCTGGATTGCAGAGTTGGTTTGAACTGCAAGGTCTGCAGTTCAAGGTCACCAGCCATGCCTTGGAAACCCTATACAGGATCACTATGAGTTGGAACCAACTCAACAGCACTTAACAACAACAACAACAACAACAATAAAAACAACACTCTTATTCCTAGGCACTCTGGTGGCACAGTGATTAAGTGCGTGATTGCTAACCAAAAGGTCAGCAATTGGAACCCACCAGTGGCTTCAAAGAGGAAAAACAATCTAGAAAATGCTATGTAGCTACTACTCTACTCCATCGTATAGGGTCACTATATGTCATTGAGCTCTGGTAGCGTAGTGGTTACGAGTTGGGCTACTAACCTCAAGGTTAGCAGTTCAAAACTACCAGCCGTTCCATGGGAGAAAGATGAGGCTTTCTGCTCCTGTAAAGATTTACAGCCTTGGAAACCCTATACAGGGTCTCTGTGAGTTGGAACCGACTCCACGGCACATAACCACCACCATATGTCATATTGGAGCTCTGGTGTGGTGCTGTAGGATAAGCACTGGGCTGCTACCCTCAAGGTCAGTGGCTCAAACTAACTAACAGCTCCTCAGAAACCCATACAGGATCGATATGAGTTGGAACCAACTCAACAGCAGCATATGTCATATTATCGGCACACAACAGCAATCTCATTCTTGGCTTCATCTTATTTTTTTTAGTCTTGTTTTCCTTTACCATAATTTTCTTCCTTATTTTTTATTAATCTTGTTTACATTTCTGCAAGGCACTTTAATTCTCTTTGGAATGAAGCTAAATGTAAAATGAAATAAAATTGTTTAAACTAATGTTTTTAAGTGAGGTGTTCCCAGAGAATAATTTATAAGACAACTGAAAATTTTTATGACTGTAAATCATGGGGAAATATAGTAAAGTAAGAAATGTATCTAAAGACTTTGGCCTTTTAAATATATATAGCCAGTTACATCTAGAAGCATTGTTAAGTTTATAAGATGTTATATTTATTTTTTTGTTGCATAGGTTTCGTCAGATTTTTAGAAGGATATTATATTGTGTTAATAACTAAAAGGAGGAAGATGGCAGATATTGGAGGTCATGCAATATACAAGATCGAAGACACAAATATGATCTATATACCCAACGATTCTGTACGAGTCACTCATCCTGATGAAGCTAGGTATGTACTGGTATTAATTACAGGTTTTGTATTGTGATAGGCCAATTGGAACACAAAATACATTGGAAACCGTATGGGGCAATTGTACTCTGAGTTAGAAATGACTTGTCAGTAACTGGCTAATCTTTATGGAAGCAGATTGCCAGCTGTTTTCTCCTATGAAGCCACTGGTATGTTCACATCACCAGCCTTCCAGTTAGCAGCCAACCACTTAACAATGACTCCACCAGGCTTCCTTATATAAACTGGTTTAGATGATATTATCACAGTGGCTGCAACAGTGTCCTCAAACATGACAACAAGTGTGATGGTTGTGTAGGACCAGCAGTGTTTTGTTCTGTTGTATGGAATTAAAATGGGAAAAAAGAATTCAAATGGATCAGTGGAATGAAAAGATAATGGAATTGTCCTATCCATCAATAGCAACAGTGGTATTGGTAGTATTTAGATGGTTGCTCATGTTCATGTTAGATACATAGTAAAATCTGTAGGGACAAAACGTCATGCTATTGTTGGTTACCATTGAGTCAATTCCTACTCATAGCAACCTCTAATGACAAAGTAGAACTTCCCCATAGTGTTTTCATGACTATAATCTTTATAGAAGCATACTGCCAGGTCTTTGCTGGGTGGGTTCAAACCACCAACTTTCATTCAGCAAACCATTGTGCCACTAAGTGTCCCTTTATCATGTCCGAGACTTGCTGTCAAATGGTTGAGAAAAAAAACCTCCAAAAAAGCTTGCATATTTAAAGAGAGAGGAAAGTGGGCACATGTGTTGAAAGAAAGAGTTTAATAGTGATCTCAGTCAGATAAGGAACATACTGATGGTCACTGGACTATTTTTTGGTTCAATTTTCTTTCAGATTTTTTTTTGGGGAAATTATTGGACTCTTGTGAGTATGGGAAAAGCCTATTAAATTGATAGAGAATAGAGTTGATTTATTTTAATATAATGATGAAAACGGAACTAAGTTAGACCCGTTTATAAGTTTTTAGGACAGTTACCATTTTAGATTAATTACTTTCATAATGGTGTTCTAGGTACATGAACTGAAATTAAGGGTGATGTGGCTGTCTTGCATAAGACCTGTTTAAATAGTAGGTTTTTAGATCCCTGATGGTGAATTTGAAGTTGGGGTTGTTGTCAAAAAAAAAAAAAGTTTCAAGTCAAGAGAAGTAGAGTTTATCAGAAAAAAGGAATTTATGTGTTTTACCAAGTGAAAAAAACTATATCCCACTTAGTGTACAGGCAGCCATAGTATATTGATTAAATGGAGCCTTGGTGTGGCAGATAGGTACTGTACTGCTAACCACAGGGCAGTGGTTTAAATCTACCTGCTGCTCCTCAGAAACAGGGTTGCTTATGAGCTGGAACCAACTCCATGGTACTTACAACAACAACATAGTATATTAATTAAAAGTAAAGTCTTATAGATTATTTTAATTTGAATCCTAGGAGTTGAAGAGATAAATATTACTTATAAACTCCTTTTTTATGATTCTTTAGCCAAGAATGGTAAACCATAGTGCAATCTATAACATCATCAAGACATTATAAAGTTCACATAGTGACCTATCTTTAAAGAGTGAAACTGTCTTATGATTGATATTGTGTAATAAAAGGGACATTATCCAGAATAAGATATAATTATATTAAATAGCTTGTGGTAGGTGGACAAACCGAAGTAACATTATTAGACAGGCAAACATTTTGACACACCTACAAAGGTATGTGGACTTCTGGTGTGGTGTTGTAGGACCAGTACTGGACTGTGAACCACAAGGTTGGCAGATGAAACCCATTAGCTGCTCCTTGGAAACTCTACACAGGTTTGCTATTAGTTGGAGTCAACTCGATGGCACTTAACTATAACAACATACAGGTATATAATCCAATGGTGTAATAAAGTAAAAATATTTGGTAAAATATTTGCAAATAAAATAGAGTTGTATGAAACATTTCATACATAATGATAAGTAGAGTTTACCTCTATAATTCATGGTCATATCAATAGTAGAAAATGTATTGGAGTTACTTGCTACATTAAAATATTGATGGAAAAAATATGATCAACTTAATATTTGTAGAAAATATATTTGACAAAATTCAACATCTACTCATGGTCTTAGCAAACAAGAAATGGAAGTAGTTGTTATTAGATGCTGTTAAGTTGATTTTGACTCGTAATAACCTCATGTTACCTAGTAGAAGTGTCCCATAGGGTTTTCTAGGCTGCATTCTTTTCAGGAGCAGATTTCTAGGTCTTTGAAACTGCCAATCTTTCAGTTAACAGCCAAGCACTTAACCGTTTCACCACCAGGGACTTTTTTCCCTAAACTTTTTGTGAATGGAGTGAAGGTTTACAGAGCAGATCATCAGTTTTATATTCAACAGATCATCCACTTCATTGCATCCCAATCCCCTCTATGTAACGTCACTTATCCCACTTTCTCCCTGCATTTCTTGTTTCCATTCCTCCTTCGTTCCCAACCCTTCTAAATTTTGTCCTTTAGGTAAATGCTGCGCTTTTGATCTCAAATGGTAGGCCATTCTATGGTGTGTGTATCTCACTAGTGTTGTTCCTCCCTGCCCCCCATATATCTGTCTATTGCTTGGCTGAAAAGTGAACCATAGGAGTGAGTTCGGTTCCAGATCTGAAGGGTGATCATAGTCCATAGTATCAGAGTTTACCAGTCTCTGGCTAAGTAGTAAATCCAGTCTTTTTTTATGATTTTGAGTTATGTTCCACATTTCTCCCACTCTTATCTTGTTAAGTTGTAAAATGCCGTCATGTTTGTTTCCACTAATAGTGACTCTGTGTAGGGTTTCAGATGAGCAGTTGGAGGGTTTGAAATTCCAACCTTGTGGTTAGATGCTTATCTAACACTGCCACACCAGGACCTTCTACTGTGATCCCTTTCAGAGCAGTTGACAATGGTAGCCAGGAATCACCTAGTTCTTCTTGTTGCAGGGTCGTGGAGACTGATGTTCACATGTTCCATTAGTCCACTGGACTATTGTTTCCAAGTATCTTCCATTTTCATTACTCTTCTTTCCTCTGGACAGAGAGAGACCAATAGGTGCCACTCATGAGCTGAATGAGGGAGGAAGCATCAAAAGAAGATGGAAGGAATACACAGAGTCTTTGTACCATAAAGAATTAGTCATTAGTCAGTCATTTTCAAGAGGTAGCATATGATCAAGAACTGATGAAATTGAAGGAAGGAGTCCATGCTGCACTGAAGGCATTGGTAGAAAACCAAACCTGGTGTACTTCGTTCTATTGTGCAGAGGACTGCTATGAATTGGAACTGACTTGATGGCTAACTACAATAAAAAGAACTAATGATTCATCAGCAAAAGGACTGATAAATAAGATGTGGAGTGTTTTATATGAGGTACCAAACATCAATTAAAGTAATAAAATAGTAAGTTTCAACATGGCTAGATCTCAAAAACAAAACAAAAGAACAAACTTATGAAACAAGCCAGGTATAGGGTAGTATACAGTTTGAAATAATTTATGTGACTGTTTTAAATACTCAGTGTAATACTGTGCATTATTTAACCCACCAAACCCAACTCAATCCCAACACACAGCGACTTGATACAGGGTTTCTGAGATGGTCAATCTTTATAGGAACAGACAATTTCAGCTTTCTCCTGTGGAGCAACTGGTTTGAACTACTACTAGCCTTGTGAATAGCAAGCAGCCCAATGCCTAACATAATTTAAATATATCTGTCAATTTGAGAAAAGTAAAGAGACACACAGACTAGATGAATTCATTGGAAGGAAATACCGGTGGTTGCCTTTGGAGAGAAAGAAGTGGGGTAACTAGGGAAGATTGAAGGGGATCTTTAAATTTTAAAACAGGTTTTAATTATTTTGTTTTAAAAAGTAGATGTGAATACGAAAAAGTGTTAGCATTTATTACTCGTCAGTGACAAATACATGAATATTATATTCTGTACAGCTTTTGCAGTTTGAAAAAAACTTTCCAGCTTAAAAAAATGGCAGCCTACACTTTTGCTGGGTTTTGTTACTCTTTGCTTTCCAACCTCATAACATTTTCAAAGCACATTGTAAAAACAAAAATAGTGTGTACTTCTCTCTTGCTTCAAGTTAAGTTTCCCCCATATATTGTGGGACATGACTTTTCCATTCACTGGCATAATCCATGGTGAAGAAATGGTCAGTGTACCAAAATAAGGGTGCCTGAAGGAATCATCAACAGACTTGGAAATTGCTTGCAATGAAATCCCTACTCCAGTGATGAATTAATGTCAGTTTTAATGAATGTATTACAAATGTGTAAATAAGCATATGATAAACTATAAAAAATTGTATTATATGAATGTAATGTGCTTTTTTTGTTGTTGTTTGTTTCCCCCCTAAGGTATCTACGAATATTTCAAAATGTGGATTTATCTAGCAATTTTTACTTTAGGTAAGTTTGAACTTAGTTTTGTTCCTCTCAATTACTTAAGTTTTATTTTTAAAATTTATTCCAGAGGATAAAGACAGAATTAGAGGGCATGGCAGTTCTTCCCCTATTTAAAAAAAAATTTTTTTTTTAAATAGTGAAATTAGTTCATCTAAAAGCATAAAAATGCAGGTGTTTTTCTCCTCATAAAAATCTGATATTTGAAAGTCCAAATGGTAAATTAATTAGTCTTTCTATGGAGTCTGGGTATGGCACTGTTGGATAAGCACTGGACTGACTACAAGGCCAGTTTGAACCACAAGGTCGGTGATTCAAATTCACCATCTGCTCCTCGGAAACATTATACAGGGTCGCTATGAGTAGGAACCGACTCGACAACACTTAACAACAACAACAACATTCTCGCTATAAAAGTCATGTTTTTCTTTGGCATTTAGGGTAGTTTAAAGCATTTTGTGGCTTTGAATTATGAAAGTTAAATTTATATTCAGAGTTGTGAGAGTTTCATAGTTCAGTTTTCAGCTAGCAATGTATAAAACTCAGTTAAAAATAAATTCAAAATAGGAAGGACTATTCTACTTCCGTAAAGATTTACACCCTTGGAAACCCTGTACAGGGTCGCTATGGGTCGGAACCTACTCAACGGCACTTAACAACAACAACATTGCAATACCAGTGTATTGCTGGTGGCATTGTAAATTAATACTTTTTTCTAAAGAATTTAACATTAAATGTATACAGAAATATAATGTAAAAAATAAATCAGTAGAGAAAATATTAATCCTTACTTGTTAAAAGACATTTGTTATTAAGTACTGTGGAGTCAGTTCCAACTCATAGTGACCCTGCACAGGGTTTCCAAGTATCTTTACGGGAGCAGAATGCCTCATCTTTCTCCCATGGAACTGCCAACCTTGAGGTTAGCAGTCCGATTCCTAACCATTATGCTACTAGAGCTCCTTTAAAAGACATATATAGCTTCTTTATTCATGATAGTGCAGACAACAAATCTACCTACCTAGGGCCAACCCAAATACCAATGACTGAAGAATAGGTAAGTAAATTATGCTAGAGCATTATGATATGTTATTATAGCACTATTATGTGCCATTATGTGGATCCTGTATTAGTGTGATAAATGGAAAATTATTTCAGTTAAAATGTCCAAACTAAAAAGTAGAACACAAAACAGAATGTATAAAAAAGGACTTAACTCTTAAGACTAAAAGAAGGCATAGGGGGTTATCAGGTAGGACCAGTCCTTGAGGAAGGACATCATGCTTGGTAAAGTAGAGGGTCAGCAAAAAAGAGGAAGACCCCCAATGAAATTAATTGATACAATGGCGACATAATGGGCTCAAACATGACAACCGTTGTGAGAACAGCCAGACCAGGGAACTTTTCATTCTTTTTTGCACAGGGTAGCTATGAATCAGAACCAACTCACTGGCACCTAACAACAGCAACAACAAAGGATTTGTAGCTACTTATTGTGTTTTATACTGAGGAAGAACTTTGCATTTTCCTTCTTTCTTCTCTTTTTCAGTTGTTAATTGAGCTGTTTCTTTCTCTATGAACTAAAGGCGAACATGTCTGCTATTTGAAGTGGATATCTTCACTGATGTAAAATTGAAGTTCATTATTTTTACAGTACTACAGTGAAGTGCTCCTAAATAAATACTTCTCATTTCCATAAGTGTTTATTGAATACATGTTATTGTTAAGTGCCGCTGAATTGGTTCTAAATCACGGTCACCTGTATAGGGTTTCCAAGGACTGATTGATGAGCTGGAACCAGTGGCCTTATGTTAGCAATCCAGTGCTTATCCTATAGTGCCATTGACTTCTATTTTATTTGTCTTTCTCATCTGCTTTCAGTTCTGTACTGTTTAATTTTGTGTTTATAGCATTCGTTAAGTTATTACTGATCTTCAACAGCCCTTCTAGAAATGGTCTCTGCTTCTTCTTTCTCAGCTTTGTGTCTGTATCCCCATACTGAGTTTTGATCAAGCCACTTTATAAGTAAAAATATATAGGTTACTTTTTGTCTCTCTTAAATAGCCTTTTAAAAGGTGGTAAAGTAGAGGGTCAGTGACAAAGAGGAAGACTCCAACGAGCTGGATTGATACAGTGGCAGCAGCAGTGGGCTCACACATAACAATTGTGAGGATGACGCAGGACCGGGCGGAGGTTCATTCTGCTGTGCATGGGCTCACTATGAATTGGAACTAACTTGATGGCACCTAAAAACAACAACAGCATTCTGAACGCTCAGCTGGAAAATAGTATTTGTTTTAGGTGGACTGTGAAATTGGATGCTACTAAAATGAATAGACCTATCGAGCAAATGTGGTAAATTTGATTTCCACAGATGAAACAAAATCACTTTCAATGAAATTACAAGAATAAATTAAAGAGGAGTTCTGGTATGGCGCTGTGGGTTAATGTGCTAGACTGCAAAGCCATTTGAACTATAAGATCGGTGGTTCAAGCTCACCAGTCGCTCCTTGGAAACCCTATACAGGGTTGCTATGGGTTGGAACTGACTCGACGGCACTTAACAACAACAACACAATAATTAAAATGGAGTCCTGTTGTGGTGCTGTTGGATAAGTACTGGACTGCTAACTGCAAAGTTGGTGGTTCAAACCCACCAACTGCTCCTTGGAAACCCTATACAGTGTTGCTGTGAGTTAGAACTGACTCGATGGCACTTAACAACAATAGTAATTAAATTTCATGATTTTCCAAGCAGAATTGTAACTGTCATCTTTGACATATGCCTAAAATACTTTAAAAACATATTTATATATACCTAAAAAATTCTTGATTGTTGTTGTTAGGTGTTGTTTAGTCACCTCCGACTCATAGTGACCCTGTATAGGGTTTCCAAGGAACTCTGGTGAGCTTGAACCACCAACCTTGAAGTTCAAAACAACTTTGCAGTCCAGTGCATTAACCCACAGTGCCACACCAGGATGAGAGCTGCATTTAAAAGGTTATTGGTTATGTATATAAAATCAGAATTGTAAAGGGTTTCTTTTGGCCTAAGAAAAAATAAATTTTGTTTGCAGAGAGACCATTGTGGTTTTCTGATCAACTGTTAACTCTCCTAAAACAGGTCTCTCTGTAATGACTTGTGTTATTTGCTTATTTCTGTTTTATCATGAAGTCAATTATATTACCACTATTCTTTTTTTTAATGTTTTATTGTGCATTATATGATAGTTTACATGGGAGAACTTTAGTTTTACATTCATTCCATCATATATCATCTCATTGCCATGGTTCCAATCCCCTCCATGCATCATCAACCACCCAAAGGGTATATCCCAGAAACCT